CCGTGCTTATCATAGCAATGGAAAATATGTACTACGAAAACACTACACTTTCTGGGTTTCTGTACTAAGCTTGGTGTCATCAAGACAGGCCTTTGTTCTGATCATGCTAACCTTGTTGTAAAAACTATCCTCATTTTCGATTAATGTCGGTCTTTTTGGTGTGTTTGACTGCCGTAATTGGAATAGGTTTGTTCGAGCCAACAAGTTGAAAATTTTTCAGTTCATATATCAGTGAAAACTTCGTAATAATTTTATTTGATTTAAACAACAAAAAAAAACAACCACAGGCGTGTTTTCTTTGGATACTTCCCTATAATGTCTACAGAGTTTTGTCAACTGTCTAAGAGCTTTGCTCTTTCCACTCTGTAAAAATGTTTGGTTCGTGTCGTGAGCCAATTCCGCGCAAATAATTCTGGACTGTAAGGTGGGTTATCAATATATGATTTAAGGTTGTTTTGGAGGAGCATTGCATTTCAAACCAAAATATCCCTCCGGTTTTATTTGTACGCAGATCTCAATAGGCAAGTGTACCGATTTCGTTAACAGTTTCTCGAATAGTAACCGGCCTGTGGCCTCCAAAAACATCTTTATGAATTGTTCGATACTGTCCTAAGTAGATAATGGTTGTTTATACCACCAGTTCTCGATATTTTCTGTATCTCCAAACTGATTAGTGATTATGCAGTCGTACATAAATTTGATGTGACAAAACATTTTCAGCTATTAAAAATTTGATAATAATGTACTGAACATTTGCCATCGGTACTTCGTTTACAGATTTAGTTGTACCTAATTCTGACCACGGCGATCAGTAATTACTACTTAGATCAATGCACAATTAAAAGTAAAACCGCAAGTCTAGATCTCATTCCTTCTTATTAAAAAACTAAATTTCGCGTTGATATTTGAACTACCGTCGTATATGTTGCATATGGACGCATTTAGTAAGTATATTTCCGGATGTATTAAATGTGTACGTATAGCGGACTAACTTGACTGAGGCTTATTTTTAGGGTTGGGCTTCTGTTGTCAGCATCCAGAAAAATTGGTTTAGGACTTATTTTCGAAGAAATATGGTATTAGATACTTAATTTCTTTTTGCCACTGTGTCATTATTCATACTTTAATCACGTATTTTTTTGGCGTAATTCACTTAATAGCTATTTATGTAGTAAGAGGCAAAAGTGACACAGTTTATTATGCGACGTGAAATTGCCCATCGAGGCGTTAGCCGAGTGGGGGTAACACGTCAAGTAATAAACGACACTTTTGCCTCGCATAGCATACAAGATTTTTTGTAATTTAGTGTTCATTCGTAAATATGTTTTCAAAAAATTTTGATTTAACTGTAAATCGAAATAAGGATCGTAGACTGCAGTGTTCCGTTGATGCGGAAATGAAAGCATTGCTATTTGCATTTTTTTGTAAAAACGCAAAAAACAAATTAGACGTTACACGTTTTCGTTAATTTCATCAGTGTTTTTGTGTGTGACGCCGTATTAGTATTAATAATCTTAAGAAACATGAGTGATTCAGAAGATGATGTGCCAAAGAAGCAATTTCAAATGTATTACAGTGAAAGTCGAAAGAATTGTATGAAATGGCTTACACACGCTATGAAGATTGGATTTTTATCTCTAGTGATAAAATAATGTCACTTTCTGTCGTTAATGATAAAAAGAGTAATATTTCGTAACAAAAAATGCATATGAAATGTCGATATTTGACAACTAAATTACAAAAAATAGTTAGCGTGTAATTTTATTTCATTTGATGTCCGTGGTGTACGGTTTATGCAAATTTTGAATTAAGCGGTCCGTTTACTGTACGCCAAGTTGCTGGTATAGAACTCCTTCGTGCCGATGCGTTGCAAAGATCGTTTTAAATGCGAATAGCAGGAAAAGTCGGGAGATGTGACCAACAGTGAGGCGGATTTTTTAATCTTGAATAACAATATTGTTTTTTGTGTTTGTTATACCTACATATTGTTGTTTATATCCTCTTGAACGACAGTTGTCTTTTCATCTCCTGAACTAAACGGGACATAAATTAAACAGTAAAACTTCCACACAATCTAAAATTTGTGTCGATATAAAAACACTTCTTTTCGAATTCTCGTTCAAAGCGACATATGCCTTAAACCTCCTCGAAAAAAGTTCAATATCGTGGCACAACTGTCTCCAAATAAAAATTTCTAAAAAGCTGAATTAATAAAGTTTATAAGGGTGATATTAAAACGCACGTCCAATAAATCTTGCGAACAACAATGGGGTGCGTAATGTGGTAACTATTTACATTGCCTGATATCTAACAGCGTACCCTCTGCCTATCATAATTTCTCAGACATTAACTAATTGCGACAGGGTTAGTACATAGTACACCTGCGACACCAAAGTGTTTCCACACCCCGATACAAAAATATATTTTTTTCTCGTTCGACACTGAAGTTGTTTGCTTACTATTGAATTTTATTTATGGAAGAATTGGCGAGAGATACTTTATGTAAGTTTGGGACACTTATTATTATGGTAAACTTACTAGGTGTTACCCAGCAATGCGTTTCAATGCTACTTTACAAAGAAAATTCGTGTGATATCGTACTATTTATTATCTAAAATTTTCACCGGTAATCGAAATGTCATTGTTTGCATTTGTTTCATTTCAATTTTGCTAAACATGCGCACTCATACGCAAAAAATACGAATGAATCATTGTAAAATGATTGTACCATTTCAAAAAAATAATGAATTATTTTATGAATATTAACGTCGTGTCTGACAAAAATCATAGCTTCCTGAAAATGTAGAACGAATTAAAGTGACAAATTATAACAGTTCCATTGCGTTCTAATTCTGGCGGTCACATAATGCAGACTCTGTGAAACGAAAGAGCGTATGCTATTATGGCTTGAAAAATGGTAATGATATGGTTTCGCTTCTTGTACACCCTGGAAAAAAAATTAATAAAAGACAAAAGACAATGACGGAGGTTAGAAAGGATTGGACTAAATAAAGGGATTCTTTTTTAATAGAATACGCACCAGACATTAATTAATCTAGATCTTCACGGAAAACTTGATTCGCACAAGAGACCGAATTATTTATCAGGCTGATAGATAGTGACATCAAATAAAAGAACACATTTTCATAATGTAACAAGAATTTTATTACCATAAAAACGAGTTCTATTATCATACTGAATAATTTATTTATAAGGGTTGCGATTTTTACCACAGTATAGACTACTGAATGTTCTATTTATTTATTTATGTTTTTCACTTGCATAAAGTTAGATTGTGATTCATTGGCAGCACCGGCACCTGTTTTAATTAAATTTATTACTTCTGCATCAATGGTATTTGTTTTTACAGAAGAGGATTTTTCTTTACTAGTGGTCATCTAAATCTCTGTAATGAGAGAACGGGATTGGACATTTTCTGAATTGTTCATTGTGTCGCAAAACAGCCACGATCATTGTAAACTAAGGAACCAGTCCTCATTTTAACAAACCTCTGCTTTTTTCCTCATTCAGTCTGAAAGAAACCTAATAAACAGTTCATCGGAATTCGAAGCTTTTATCAATTGAACTCGACACAAAGAGGAAATTTTATTAGGGAATTTTGTTTGTGCCAGAATTAAGAATAGTAAAAAAGATGTCGAGTTTATTACATTCCTGGAAATCTGCCCCCGCATGTTGAAATATAGTGTTTCATTTTTCATGCACAAGTAACAATTTAAACAAATGCAGTAATTAGTAACAGAAATAAGTTTACTGTAGAAGTTGGGCATTTTATCGTTGCGTATAGTATACTACATCACGCTGTCAATTAGTTTGAAATATAATAAGTATTGGCACAACGTGTAATATGTGATCAACAACGTTTGCCATATATCTTCTATTTAAGAAACAATTACCATTTCACTTTGCAAGTGTGCAAGAGTGTTATGGATTTAAAAAGTTAAACGAACCAAAGAATTTAGGGAGAACGAAGCCTTTTGAAAACGAAATAACACGTTTTATTTTGTGCGAAAATGACTTGGCCAGTGCTTTGCCGGCGGGATTATACGGTCTGTAATTTCCCGTTGAAGATTATCTTAGACATAGTTATCTGACGGTTTTAATGAACGATTAATTCCAGAGCAAAATTATTTCTTTCGTTTCATTTAGAGTTTGTGAAAGAGGTTATGAATGTTGAAAAGGCTAATGAATGTTTCCAACACATGAGCTGTAATATGATTGCGTAAATATGCAGTTTTAGCGTTTGAGTGGCAGTATTTTCGAGTCTGTCGAATGGATGTAGTTACGGTAAATTTATCGGAACTCAAAATTTTAATAATATACGTTTCACTTGACAATGCGAACAAGCAGGTATACGGTTATCGCGAATTGTAATTTAAGTGGATTGTTTACATCAAGTATATTAATTTTAGATACGCCGAATGCGAAGTACCTACATATTATCCTACTGCCATACTGTTTAACTGAAGTAAAAAATGTTTATGGATCGGATATCTCTGAATGGAGGTAAAAATCAATGTAAAATGGTTTGGGGTCGAACCCCACATTTATAAATTAAGTGTTTTATCGAAAAAAGTACATGTTTCTAGAAACCTCTGTTCTCATCTTCGGCTAGTTAAATTAATCAAATCAATTTTTCATTTGATTTAACAGGCTGAAGTTGATAATAAGGGTTTCTCGAAACGCGTCCTTGTTTCAATCAAACACTTAATTCGTAAGTGTGGAGTTCGACCTCAAACCCTTCTGCATTAATTGAAAATATTTGAGCAAAATTCTAAAATCACAAACACATTGCCCTACACACATAATCTAACGATCAGCTGAAATAGACGATAATTTTATGCATTAGATAGACAGTATAATTAACGTTATCTGTTTCGAAAACAGAAACCAATAACAAACGCGTGTAAATTTGCCATATAAATTGCAGTGAATCTCGTATATTGTGCCATTTGTTTACACTAGCGTTTGATTTGTTGCAGACGTGTCCTTAACGAGAACCGCATCTGAGCTGCGAGATGGGGACACGAACTAAACCCTGTTGTGACTGGAGCGGCTGTGCTAGAGCTAGCATCTTCGTTATCATCCTGCCAGCGGCAACCTCCGCCGCCACTCTACAAGGTAAGGAATCGAAGCTCTTTTTAGGCATACAACAAAGAGAACACCCTAAGATACTGAAAATGTTTTAGTTTTAATAATAATAACATTATTTTCAGCCTTTTACCATCTGTCTAGTGCTACTAACACCACTTCTATCGAAAGCTATTACAACTGCACACAGGTGTCCTGTGATTTGGAAAATGATACTTGGACTCGCAACAATACCAATGATACACTTAGCGACGTTGGCAAAGATGAACCCTTGGCAGATCTTATTCTTATGGGAGTATTGTCAGTTGTGCTCGGTCTCATGATCCTGGTTACGGTGATAGGTGGGTAGATTTTTTTTCTCGTAATGGTTATTACAGGATATTAACACGTTCAAAGAGAGTCGTCTGTGCAGCGAAGTAAGAGAACATTTTTTTAGATCACCATTTACTTTCGATGGAATTACATACGTGGTTGGGTTTATTTTTTCAGTTTGTACTGGTTCCCGCCTAAGGGTGGTGAAGTGCCAGATCTCCTGAAGATTGTTTGTTTCATTAGAGAATTTACTATTAAAGAGGTTGATTACGTTTATATTTAGAGCAAAAAAAAAACGACAAAAGTTATTAACTGACTAGAACTTCATAGTACTGCCTTGTAGAGTTTCGGTTTGTCAGTTAGTGTATAGGTACATCATTAGAATCTGGCCGATGTAAGAATAACACACCATTAAAGTTCGCAAAGAACGAAATTAAGACCGGATCTACGCCACTGGCAGCTTTCCCCACCTACTCTGTGCGCAGCCTGTGGTGATTTAACATGTCATTCTTTCGCCGGAAGAACTCTAATATGGAGTTCAAATTTTCTATGTATTATAACGGTTTTATTTTTATTACCATACAAAAAGGAGTAGCATTTTTTCAGCGATTTCTATTTTTTCCCTGTTTAACTTACGAAAGTCTCATGACAAAAATTTGGTTTAAATTTAAGCTTATAGTATAGAATTCCCCTAGTCCCTTAATTAAAAGACTTCGTATATGTTAGTGGGAATGTTTAGTAAAGATTAATGTATTTTCCGGAAATCATCATAGAAACAACATTTTCCTGCGTATCTACGCGCAGGAAAATTGAATTTTCCGGACTAGTACTGTAAAGACTTCACAAGTCGCAAAATAAAAAATTGGTCTAAAGAATTTAGACAGTACTTCCCTCGCTGTCGGAAACTTGACGACTGCATGCCTATTGTGTTTTTTTTTCTCATTACATTTTTGTAGTGGGAATTTAAAAAAAAAATGTGATGACGTCGTCAACATTTTTGCAAGGACACGTATATCAGTTGGGATAGATGTAGTGTAATACTAAGAATAAAATTATTGTATTCCCAAATTTTCGGGAAAATGAATCGGGTCGTTTTGAATATTGATTTGTTATAATCAATAAAATAACGAAACAATTTACTCACGTATACGGCGCCGGTGTGTAATATCTAGAGAGCGGATTTCTGTCGAGCTAGGCAAGGCCAAACTTGGTACGGCTCGTACGGGATGCGAATTCATTGCGGTTGCGGACTGCACTTCGTTTATTTGAGATTAGAATAACGCTGTTTCGTTGCACTCTGCTCTTAATTCCCGTTCTCATTTACTTAGCCGTTTGATTAATAAATCGTTAATTATATTTATGGAATTAGTACCGATTAAATTCGGTGATTATCTATCACCCGGCGATCCAGCGCGTCCCCACCTATAATCGTGACGTAGCCCGACAGAAATCCGCTGTCTAGTAATATGAGGGGCAACTGATAATCGTTTATGTATAAACATTCTTAATTTAAGATGACAAGCGTAAGAGCATACGTGAGAGTCAAACAGAGAAACTGTAAACAAAACGACCATCGGTTTTATTGCTTCGAGTTCCGCTTATTATATAAAACATTGGGTTTTATTTTAATTCTTGACGGTGAAATTCACAATTGGTTGATTATAAACATGTCTATTCCACATTCGCGGAACCAAGTGAGCGCATAAAACAAATGCAGGTCTGTAATGTTAAAGTCGATGTAAATAAGCGTGCTACCCTTATGTTTCAACCGAGTTTTTCCTTTACCAAATTTTGTGTCTACCAAATTGGGTTGGTTGGGGTGTAATACTAATAATAAGTGTTGCCTTTAATTTAATCAATAAAATAAATTGACTTCATTAATTTTTTTGAACCACCTCTTAAGAAAATCTAAAAAATATGAATGGAATGATAAATCACAAGTACAAACTCATCATATTTTTTGCATTTTAGATAGGATTTATTCAGCAAAATTTAAGGGTGACGTCATCAATTTTTTTAGGAGGGATGAACAAATACATTTAGAACAAAAGTTTACCATGCTTATAATAATTTTAAAATATTCCCAAGATTTCAAAACATTCGGTTTTGTAGTTTCTGAGTAAATCAGTAAAACAAATTTACGCTTTCATTAATTTTTTTTGAATCACCCTGTATATGCAAATCCAAAAAATATGAATGGAATGATAGATCACAAGTACAGACTGATCATATTTTGTACATTCTAGATATGATTTATTCGGCAAACTTTCGAGCTGACGTTATCAAGTTTTTGGAGGGGATAAGCAAATATATTTTGACTAAACATTTATTATGCTCTTTATGACCTTAAAACATCTGCAAGATTTCAGAGCATTCGGTTTTGTAGTTCCTGATTAAATCAATAAAATATATTTACGCATTCATTAATTTTTTTGAGTCACCCTGTATATGCAAATCCAACAAATATGAATGGAGTGATAAATTACAAGTACAGACGCATCATATTTTTACAGTTTAGATAGGATTTATTCGGCAAACTTTCGAGCTGACGTCATCAATTTTTTGGAGGGGATAAGCAAATATATTTTGACTAAACATTTATTATGCTCTTTATAACCTTAAAACATCTGCAAGATTTCAGAGCATTCGGTTTTGTAGTTCCTGATTAAATCAATAAAATATATTTACGCATTCATTAATTTTTTTGAGTCACCCTGTATATGCAAATCCAAAAAATATGAATGGAGTGATAAATTACAAGTACAGACTCATCATATTTTTACAGTTTAGATAGGATTTATTCGGCAAACTTTCGAGCTGACGTCATCAATTTTTTGGAGGGGATAAGCAAATATATTTTGACTAAACATTTATTATGCTCTTTATAACCTTAAAACATCTGCAAGATTTCAAAGCATTCGGTTTTGTAGTTTCTGAGTAAATCAGTAAAATAAATTTACGCATTCATTAATTTTTTTGAGTCACCCTGTATATGCAAATCCAAAAAATATGAATGGAGTGATAGATCACAAGTACAGACTCATCATATTTTGTACATTTTAGATATGATTTATTCCACAAACTTTTGAGCTGACGTCATCAAGTTTTTGGAGGGGATAAGCAAATATTTTTTGACTAAAGATTTATGATGCTCTTTATAGCCTTAAAACATCTGCAAGATTTCAGAGCATTCGGTTTTGTAGTTCCTGATTAAATCAACAAAATATATTTACGCATTCATTAATTTTTTTGAGTCACCCTGTATATGCAAATCCAAAAAATATGAATGGAGTGATAGATCACAAGTACAGACTCATCATATTTTGTACATTTTAGATATGATTTATTCCACAAACTTTTGAGCTGACGTCATCAAGTTTTTGGAGGGGATAAGCAAATATTTTTTGACTAAAGATTTATGATGCTCTTTATAGCCTTAAAACATCTGCAACATTTCAAAGCATTCTGGTTAGCAGATTAAAAATTAAATTTCAAAATATTGTTTTATAATTTTGATTTTTTTTCCAAAAATCTGGACGTTTCGGGTGAAAAGTCGATTCAGAGTTGTAAACTACATGTGTAGGACTATGTTATTTTATACAATTGAAAACCCATTTACTATGTACAATTTTGAAGTGACGTCATCGCATTAGTGGTGGGGATGATTAGACAAATTTTGGTTAGCGTTTTACCATCTACATGATATTCTTAATATAAGTACAAAATTTCACAACAATCGGTCGAGTACTTTCGGAGATTATCTGTCTAATAAAAATCCGGGACGGCAGACGGACAGACGGACGGACAGACGGACGGACAGACGGACGGACAGACGGACAGACGGACAGACAGACGGAAATGGGAGACCTATTTCTTCGTCTTCTAGGGGTCATGAAAGATCGAGAAAACGTAAAAGTAGAGAGTCGGCCGACGGACTCGATTACAATACTTCCTTTGCTTACGCTCGGGAAGTAAAAATGTACTTTGAGATCCAACATTGTTTGTCCTTTGGTGCTATATGTTTTTATTTTCCAGAATTGTTTATAAGACGTAACAAGAAAGTAGTGCATGAAGCAGCATCAAGTTTATTTTATTAAATACACAATACAGGGTTAGTCACGAGAGAATTACTCCTGAAAATTATTTTTACGCAACCCAAAATACAAATACCATGTACCATTTGATACTAACTGAATTTAAAATGAAATGTTTAATCCATGATTGCTTTGAGTTTGGCAATCTCATTTTGACAATTGTGGAAAAGGAGGTTACGCGAGTGTCTATGGTGGTACCGCAGCCAGTCGGAAATCTCCTCCGGCGCCGCTAATAAATTTGTCAGGGTGCCTCTTGATCTTTTGCAACCGATTAATCACGAGAAAATTATTTCTAAAAATTTCTTTTACGGCATTTTATTCAAAGGTTACGACACAAACTCAAACAAGTAAGTAAATAATTTAACTACTAATCTGTTGAAAATGTTGGGCATTTTGGGGGGATGCTACGGCTTTTTACTTCCCGAGCGTAAGCAAAGGAAGTATTGTAATCGAGTCCGTCGGCCGACTCTCTACTTTTACGTTTTCTCGATCTTTCATGACCCCTAGAAGACGAAGAAATAGGTCTCCCATTTCCGTCTGTCTGTCCGTCTGTCCGTCTGTCCGTCTGTCCGTCTGTCCGTCCGTCTGTCCGTCTGTCCGTCTGTCCGTTTGTCCGTCTGTTGTCACGGATTTTTATTAGACAGATAATCTCCGAAAGTACTCGACCGATTGTTGTGAAATTTTGTACTTATATTAAGAATATCATGTAGATGGTAAAACGCTAACCAAAATTTGTCGAATCATCCCCACCACTAAAGCGATGACGTCACTTCAAAATTGTACATAGTAAATGGGTTTTCAATTGTATAAAATAACATAGTCCTACACATGTAGTTTACAACTCTGAATCGACTTTTCACCCGAAACGTCCAGATTTTTGGAAAAAAAATCAAAATTATAAAACAACATTTTGAAATTTAATTTTTAATCTGCTA